CCCCCCCCCCCCCCCAAACAGGGGACTATCATGGGCCTAGGAGGTACTTAGCACACCCCTAGGTAAGATGCCATATAGTCTCAAATAGCCATGCAGAGATAACACCTCATAGAGACATCGGTCATTACAGCTCGGCATAAGGAACTCTTAGGTATTAAATAAAAGGACAGAGAACCAGGGAAGCTCCAAGGGGCTAAACTAGAACCAGATGTCCTAGAGCCAATGAGAAACCCGTGTTTTTCTGTTAAGGCTAGAGCGCGAAGAGAGCCTACAAGTAGGTGGCTTATTGAGTATAACTTTTATACTCATCCTTGCTATGTCTTCCTTTTTTAGGTGCGTAAGACGTCGGGTCAAGAGAGGGCGTGATCAGAGATGTGGATTGTCACAGAGGAATGCATGTCTCGGAGCGTCAGTCCAGTCTTTTCTTTTGTATGCAAATTCTCATATCTTTGTTCTCAAAACTGTCAATTGTTTGAACCTTTGTGTTGAAATTTTACTTGAAATAAATGATTTCGCATTAATGCATTTGCAACTGATTTCCTTGCATTCATGTTGTCGTTTTGAGTCACGACTCATAGTAAAATATTGGGTCGTGACAGATTGGTATCAGGGCACCAGGTCGTAGGTCCTGTAGGCATTAGGTTAGAGAGTCGTATCCTCTATGACTACGCCCATCAAACACATGCCGCTCGCGACTAGATATCATCACGGGTTTGAAACATAGAGACAAAAGTCAAGCTAGTGTTTAAAGAATATACCATGTCTTTTTTCTGCTGTGTTATAATTACGCATTTATTGGAGGAGGTGCAATGAATGAATTATAATCGCAATTTTTTTTTTTCTATTATGGTAGATAATGGCACCAAAGAGACGTGGACCCTATGTCGGGCCCGGACTCAGAAGGGGATGAAGAAAATTCGTTCAGGGCACCTCTGTTCCAACACCTAAAGTGGAACAACCTGAACCTCAAGAGGAGGTTAGAGACATGCCCCAAGCTAGCGAGAGAACCGTACTGCGGGCACCAAGAACTAGAAAGCGTCGAAGGGGAGCAAGGGCCCAAGACTTGCCTGATATAGACCCTATTGCTTCCTTCTCCAAGGAGGTTCCATCGGTGCCAACCACTAGTACGAAAGTCTCGCCCAGCCAGCCGTCAGCCACACTCACATTGGATGTATTACAAGCATTCATGTTAACCTCAATGGAAAATCAGTCTCGGATGACCCAAATGATGCAGACACTGGTGGCTAATCAGACAACAGTGCAAGGGACTATGACTGTGGAGTCTCGTTACCTGAAAGAATTCCAGAGGCATAAACCGCCTTCCTTTGACGGAGGCAAGGCGGATCCCATCGCAGTAGAGACCTAACTAAAGGCTATTGAAACAACCTTCCTGTCTATGAACTGCCCGCTGGAGTACTAGGTCCATTGTGGGACTTACATATTGAAGGGAGAGGCGCTCTTCTGGTGGAAAAGCGCTCAAAGGATTATTGCACCACATGGAGAGACTATCACCTGGTGCCAGTTTAAAGAAGCCTACCTCTGCCAGTACTATCCTATCACTGCCAGAATGAAAATGTGGGCAACGTTCCTTGTGCTCAAACATGGGGACAAGTCAGTGGAGGAGTATGATTAGGAATTCAACAGGCTAGCAAGGTTTTCTTCTACATTTGTTAGTACTGAGGAGTTGAAGGCCGAGTGATTCATTGCTGGCCTAAGAGAGGATCTAAAATGGCATGTGGCAGCCCTGGCATCCTCTGATTATGCAGAAGCCCTTCGAGTGGCGAGCCTCATCAACATGCCCCACATCGACAAGTTACAATCAGGATCAGCCCAATCATCCCACACGGCAATTCAAGGAAAGAGGACAGACCGGAACCACCCAAAATTGGTAGACTGCCCTGCAGTCGCATTGATAAGCAGGGGGTGCAGAACAGGACCATTATCCTAATTGTCGGCGTCCTCACATGGGGGAGTGCAGAGCAGGGCAGATGCATGCTTCAAATGTGGCCAAGAAGGGCACTTTGCAGCAGACTGCCCTCAGAGGAACGATCAACATACTAACTGACCTGCGGCATAGAATCAGAGGGGCCGGGTGCTCAACATCAGCAGGGGCAAGCTGTAGCCCATGCAACCACAGTCAGGCAAGCTGACGAGCCCGACGCAGTTGTTACAGGTACGCTACCCGTCTTTGATCATTTGGCTTTAGTGTTGTTTGATTCGGGTTCTACACATTCATTTGTAATTTGGCTTTAGGTGGTTTACTGAGTATAACTTTTATAATCATCCTTGCTATGTCTTCCTTTATCAGGTGCGTGAGGCGTCGGGTCAAGAGAGGGCGTGATCAGAGATGTCACAGAGGAATGCATGTCACAGGACGCAGTCCAGTCTTTTCTTTTGTATTCAAATTCTCTTTATCTTTGTTCTCAAAATTGTCCATGGTTTGAACCTTTGTGTTGAAATTTTACTTCAAATAAATGATTTCGCCTAATACATTTTCAACTGTTTTCCTTACATTCATGTTGTCGTTTTGAGTCACGGCTCATAGTAAAATATTGGGTTGTGACATATGTCATAAGCGATAATAGGTGAGACTCCATTCTTATTTTGAGGGGCTCCCATGTGATTCCTTGAAATGTTTTTCTCTTGCGATTTGATTTGGTTTTCTAACTCATCTCTCTGGAGCGTTGTTGAGTGATAGGTGAATATATATTGTCCAGCCATTATATGTTTTTTTCTTTTTTTTTTTTTGCTGGTCAAGTGTGATATCCCACGTTGGCTGGAGAGGAGAACGAAACATCCTTTATAAGGGTGTGGAAACCTTTTCCTAGCAAATGCATTTTAGTCTTAAGGAGAAGCCCGAAAGGGAAAGTTCAAAGAGGACAATATCGGGTTTGGGCTGTTATAGATACTATTTCAGATGAGTTTCATATTCATTTGCGTAAAGCTTGCCTAGCTCTTTTAGTATAGATAGGAGCCTACAAATCCATTTTCTAATCATAAATTACTCTGTCCATTCATCCTTCAGGTGAGTCGCTCCCCAGTTTTCAAAGCTATGCTCGAGAACGAAATGGAGGAAAGCCGTAGTGGTACCATAAAGATCAGCGACGTTTCATTTGACGCCCTCCGCACCTTCGTTAATTATCTGTACACAGCAGAAGCCTGTCTTGATGAACAGATGGCTTATGAGCTTCTAGTTTTGGCTGAAAAGTACGAAGTGAAGCATCTGAAGGCTCATTGCGAGAAGTTCCTGATATCAAAACTGAATTGGGACAACTCAATCTTGAACTACACCTTTTCCCATCGGCACAATGGGAAGCATATGATTGATGCAGCGTTAGCGGTGATTATTGAGAACATGGACAAGCTTACCAAAAGGGAGGAGTACATGGAGCTCGTCGAAACGGATCCACGGCTTGTCGTCGAAATCTTTGAAGCTTACATGTCGAAACAGGTAAATACTGCTGCTTCTAAGGATAGTTGTGTGGAATAAAAGTGAAGTAGATGTTATTATAGGCATTATGATTTGTTCAGTGTGCTAGCAATGACAATGAGTATGCTCTCTAATAATACTAAGAACATATCTTGTCAAGAAAAAACAAGAACGTATGCTTATTTGGCTGAGAATATTTTGTCTCTATATTTGTTTATGATTCTACATTTCCATGCATCTCTCCTTACACTTCGGTTGAATCTCCCAAATACATATATATATATATAATTTGGATGGAGACAAGAACATGGCCCTGTTTAGCTAATTTATTATTTGCTTGATCGGCGGTTTAAACGAACATTTCTATATAATATTAGCTTATCTGTTGGTAGGTTCGGGCTAAAAGATTTGATTTTTTTTTCCATAAATTAGTCAAAATATCTATAAATTTTGTACTTAGACGTAGTCTAAACTTTCAAAAGTTTCAATGATACTCTTAAATTTTTCCGGAAAAAAAAAAAATACTCTTTACCGTTACTACTATCTTTAAAAAATACTCATAATATTTTAAAAGTACATTAGCGTTCTTTCCTTTATAAAAAAAAAGAAAAAAGAAGTTTGATAAAAAAATTTACCGTCAATATATAGACAAAAACTGTCTATCGATATTTCATAGATTATCAAAAATAGTATAGCATGCGTGTCTTTGGAGTGGGCATGTAAATAAGGGTGTAAACATGGACTTGTAGTTGTGCTTGCGTTGGGTAGGTGTTGGTGGGTGATAGGGGCCTTGCTGCAGCGTGGGACTTGGCGCATGCACGAGGGCGAGCATTGGCACCCATAAGCACGCCTTGGTCATAGGGCTTGGCATGCACACGAGTGCTCAAGCAATGCTCTCACTCATGCATCATTCTCATTAACACCCAAACCTATGTCAACCAACTCACCCATACAGTAAAAAAAAAAAAAAAAAAAAAAATTAAAGTTAAAAAGGTGTTCTTGAAGTTTTAAAAAAAATTGGTGTAAGTTAAAAAAGGTATTTTTAAATTTTTTTTATTAAAAGATAATTTTAAAATGAAATATTAATGATTTTTAGTAATATTTTAAAATTTGTTAAAGTTTTTTGTTTAAAAAAAATGTTTATGATTGAAACTTCGAAACTTTTTATTAATTTAATTTACGAAAAAAAAAAAAAAAAAACAAATTCAGCCCGATCTGACATGACCCACATAAACCCTTGCAAAGAAAACGGAGAGGAGTTGCAAATAGCGAACTGGAGGAGCAGAAGACGATTCGTCGTGAAGACGAAGGCAATTAGGGCATATCTCTGAATGCAAAGCTTTCCCAGAATACCACCGGAGGAAGAATCGAGGCTAAGATTGCGAGTTCAAAAGCATCACACGCTACGGGACTTCTTCATCTTCTTTTGAAGTTTTCTAGTTCGTCGAAGAATTGATGTCTCGTAGGGACGAGGAAACAGACTTGTAAATTTTCCCACCCGGATTTTCTGTTGTTAAAGGGTTCTTCTGTGGATTTTTGACACAATGGTTAACGGGAGTACTGTTGATCATTCGCTGGATGTACGTTTGGATAGGCGACTGAAGAGAAGGTTAGTTTCGAATCGACAGTATAAGAACTACTGTTGCAAAACTTCGAAGAAGAATGAACTAGAAGAATTCGATGCGGAATATCGGAAATTCTTAGATAATTTACCGAAGTTTGTGGATAGCAGCGAGGAGATTGTTGAGGCTAAACCTCAGGATTTTGGGCGTGATAATGACGATAATGGGACTTCGCGCTGTAAATGGTTGGTAAATGAAGTTGATCCTGTTTATGAGATGTTTTTTCAGCATTTGATTGAAGAGGGGAAAGCATATAAGCTTGAAATTCCATCAGTTGATGGAATGAAAGTGTATGTGAAGTATGAGGAAGACGAAAAATCAAGCCCGAAGAAAGATCAAAATAGTAAAAAACCTGGAACTATCAGGACCTTGACGAGTGCTTCAAGGAAAGATGAGATAGCGAGCACTGATAAAGAAAGCCCGGTTCCTTTGTTTGAGGAAGAGTTCAGTCTGGATTGTGCAAAACCTATATCTAATGGGGTCAATGGAAATTCAAGCACAATGCTCGGTACAGGTCTTCTCAGTTCTGCTAAGCGTCTTTCCCTATCCGATTCTGACTCGGATAATATGGACGAAGACTATAAGACATTTTTGACAGATTTTCTTTATGATGATCGTAGATATCAATTAATGCCTCCAGATGGTAGGCGATTTGTCTATGAGCACGATGGAAGTATATCTAAGTCAGAAGTGGTGAAGATGAACACCGATTCATGTAAGCGCAGCAGTGCTAGATTTGGGAGAAAATATTTACGTTCCGCTGTGAGTATATCTAATTCTAATGCTGTGATATCTCTTTATTTGAATGGGAAAGGATATAGAACTTGGTTATGTCTTAGATTGATAGATTTTTTTTGTTCTTTCCAGATGGATATAGATAGTGGGAAGAGTCTTCAGAGTCCTGGTATATATAAAAGTTCCAATTTCAGGGAGAGGCTCATAAAAGTTCTTCAAAAACCATATGATCAACGTGAGTACGACTTTTTTCTTCAAGAAGTAGGCCGCCGTAGGCCACATGTCCGGCATAGAGAATTACGTAGTAGAGTGCTAAAACCATATACACTGGAATCTCGCGCCAAATCATATCTTCATCTCTATGATGGTGAGTGCTTTAGTCCCAATGTAATTTTCTACTGCCATTATATTGATTGGATTTTTCTTGTTATCAGTGTTCTTCAATGTGTTAAAAGGCTATATGAGCTACGTAATTCTCTTATACAGGAGTAATCTCTGGAAAGAACTAGTATTTTCAACACCCCCAATCTTTTTCCTCTAAAAAGATTCCTCCTTAAATACCACTTAGTGAAGATGTGCATCCTAAGAGAGGATGTTCTAACCCCCGATCTGATTCTTTCACCAAAATTGATTTTTCAGGTTTTCACTCTTCCAATTGTCAAGACTACCTAAGAAGTGCTAAAGAAACTATCTTCTAGCTTGATTTGATATTTTGTGTTTATCCCAAAGAGAAGTGTTCAATGAACCTCTGGACATGTAAATATTCTGTCAAGTAGATTCAAATTATGCACTTGCCTTTTTCTGTTTCATTAATTTCTTTGCTTAGACTTTCGAATTTATTTGCACGATGTTCATTATAATCAGTGCGGATTCTATGTATTGAATCTATCTTCTCTGTTTTTTTTTTTTTTTTTTTTGGCAGATCTTGCTATGAAAATTCAATCAGTTCAATATGATTGCCCCAGAACTTTGAACCTACTGCGTGGCTTCTTCTATTGGTTGCAGGTAGTTTTTTATATTTTTGTGAAACATGTTTATTTCGTAGACGTCTTCTTCAGCAATTAGGATGGTAGTTAATGGGCACTTAATTTTGTAGTTTAAGAAATAGAATATATTATACTGGTACAATAAAGGATTAGATTAAGGAGGTAAAGAGTCTCTGTCTTGGGCCACGAAAAGAGTTATTATATCTTAGTGCCCTTTACCACTTTTAAGAATATGTTCTCTTCGAGAAATGATGAGAGGAGGTTACCACGATGTGAAAGTGGTTGGCAATTTTACACTATTAGATGTATAAGAGAGAAACTACTAAACTATTTTAAATTTGTATCCTATGATTATTAAGAGATAACTATGTTGTAGCAGCTTTATTTAATAATTTTTTTGTTTCCTTCCCATATTGACTTCGACATTGTGTGGTTCTCAGAATTTGTCCCATGAGGATGCTTTCCAGCCTTGGATGGACCCATCATGCTTGAATGTGTTGCCACTGTCATAACTTGGAAATGTAGCTCAGTTTAAGCTCTTGTTCAAGTCACTGTATTTGGTGATGGATAAATCAGATAAAACAGTGTCCTGAATGTATTTTGGTGGTCTTTGGTTTCATGCTCTGTAAGTACGGTATAAAGTAGGTGCTAACCATTCATTTGTTGCATGATCCACATGAAGTATAGGAAACACATTCCTTCTGCATAACTCAGAAGTGTAGCATTTTTCCTTCTTATTTGTGCGTTTCATTCTCCTTTCAATTTCAAAGGTTTCAATGTAAGTAAATGTCAGGAAATGTACCAGGATTTTGATTATGAAACACGGAACTGAAAATGATTTCTGTGCATAAATTTTGTAGGATCTTCAAGGTTCTTAAGAATTTGAAGGTACAACTACATTTCTTTGTGCTGAAGTGATTCTAATTTCCCTGAGAAAAGCTCTTGCTACCCGTCTGATATCAACTAGCTCGATATAGATTTTGAGGTTAAATGATTGATTGCAATTTAGTTTTTATAATTTTAATAGTTGTCAGCAAGATTCTTGTGGTTTTGTTGAAACTTCTGAAGTGCCCCCAAGATTATCAAAAGTTGACAATGGTTACATGATATGTTTTTGTATGTTTTCTTTTAATGTGTCAAGGAAATGTGATAAGCTGCGTTCGAGAAATCATTACTTTGAAGGTAAAACTACGTGTACAAAACAGGGAAAGAAATGTAAGTATAAAATGAGGAATTGGCATTCTATCTATTTGGAACACAACATAGTGAATATGTAGCATCTTTTCACATTTGTTAACTAAGTATCATGATTGTAGATCTTGAGGCAGGTCGTTGCTATTGAACATAATTCTTGGTTTTCCCATGCTGAAGTTGAGGACCCTTGCATTCATATTGTACTTGATTTCACCATCATAAAGCATCTTTCTTATGTAGTGTTCTATGTCTGAACCAATTAGGCGAAGTGTGTATTCCGTCAGTGGAGCTCCCTGATTTCCTCAAGTATCATTTTTAAAATGATGGTTAGATGAAGAGCATATTAACAAAGAAACATAGTAAAATAAAAGAATTGATTAATCATGAATCAGTCAGCCAAGATTCGAGTAAAGATATGACAGATTCGAGTAAAGATACCGCTAAATTAACGAGAGAGAGAGAGAGTGATACCTCATAATGATCCACAAGCTCTTGGAAGTAAGCATAGACTTTGTTGCAAGTTTCAGGATTCCAAAGAAACTCATTGCTTGGATCCAAAATAAGTGTAAGTTTATCCATTTGGGTCTGATCAAACTCACAAGTAACAGGGTCAATATAAGCTGCATAGATTCTTACATGGCGAGTCACACTGCTCAGCCATTGCCCTCCATACTCTCTGCTCATGTTCTTGCTCTTCACGTTTGGCTGCGTTTCCACCGGTCGCAGCGGCGACAGTGGCGGTTTCGGCTTTGCCTCTTCTTCTTCACCTACCTTTAGTTGCTCTGCAGCTTCATTGATCTGAGCAGAAATGGGAAATCTGGCCGAGGGTCTTGTGTTTTGTTTGCCGTTTTTCCAACCCACCATGGAAAAGACCATGTAAGATGAAGCTGCTGTTGACATGGAGGAAAGTTCTTTGGTGTTTATCCCTACAAAATGGTTGGTTTTGGTTTGGGTTGGTTTCTCTGTTTTATAGTTTCTGATTTTTATTTTTTCCTTTTGTCCTTCTGTTTGTGGGGCTGAGATTTTTTCAAAAATGAAATTCAAATGTTTGTGGATAAGATTTTTCTGTTCCATTTATTTTAGTTCTTATTAGACCTCCAAAATTACCTTTATTCACACTCACCCGAAAGAAAAGAAATAACAGAGTAACAAGAATGTAATTATCTATATCAACTTATCATTTATGTTTAATTGTGAATGTAATTATCTACGTCAACTTATTTCTCCAATATCATTTATGTTTAATCAATAACAATCCCAAAATATTAGATGAGAATATCGCAAATAGACCCATCGCGACACCCATCAAAGGCGTAGTTCCCCCATAAGCCACTTTACCATATTCCGAATTTAAGGTTTCAATAAATCCCCTATAATAGTTCGTCTTGGCCTAGATCTAGAACTATCCTCAACGGTTTGTGTAGCCATAAATAATCTTATATTTTGTCCAACCATATTTCATCCCCAAGTTGTCCTTCAATCCAATTTTTTATTAAAGATTTTAGCTAAAGTAAAATAAAACCAGTAGTATAAATTTCAGCAAACCTAATATTCCCTAAAGATTCATTTAAATTTCAGCAAAACCATGTGGGAATTGCGCATTCAATTCTCATGCTAAAAGGGATGGAAAAAATGAACAATCGGCTAATTCGAAGACATAAGACTAACCAAAAAAAAAATTAAAAAAGAACAGTGTAGCTTATCACATCCACTTCTCATAAAATCATTTCATTCCTTTCACATTAAAATGTTGATTTACAGTAATGGCAGAAGGGAAGTTTTTCACAATTCTGCACTGAGAAGAAAAGCTAGAAGCTATAAACTAGAAAACCTAAACTGTGATTGTGTTACAGATATTGGCAAAGTAGGTATACACTAAACTAAACTGTAATGGTGAGAGATTGGACACGTACCTGGCACAGAATCAGCAGCAGGCAGCTCAGTTTGCCAGCGATTGCATCGTCAGATTCTCGGTCATTATCCGAACTGGTTTGATTAGCTTGTCGGGATTGTTTAGTAGTAACTCTGAGAGGTAACCTTCGCAAAAGGACGTACTCAGGCTCGTTGAGTCAGGGCTTTTTGCAATCTCTTCATCACTAGAAACGTCGAGGCTGATATAATCTGCCAGATCTTTTTCAGGAAAAGGATCACTCAACTTAACAGGATGCTTCTCACTCACCACCATTCTCGACCCAAAAACATTGTATTTCTTAGAACCAAAGTACCGTCCTTGATCGTTATTCTTCCCTTCTGATCGTTTCCTTTTTCTTCCTTTAGTTTGTCTTTTAGGATGGTGAAGTTTGCACTTGGGTCTATCAGGACATGTACCTGTTGCTTCGAACAAGGGGCATACATAACTGTGCTTCTTACGGCACTGAACAATTAGGTACACCCAGTTTCATTAGATTTACAATTACACACACGATGACATGATGTATTGAGTATAAAACTTGCTTGTCTGTAAAAATTAAAATAATTTTCTGGAGCAAAACTTTAAGTAGGATAATTTAACAGAACAAATAAATTGTTCCCAGGAGGAATTAGTGCAACCCTTTTTTACTGGAAAAAAATACCCTCTAAAGGCAGTTCTATGAAACAGTCAGCAAAACGGTTTACGAACATATTTTTCAGGAAGCACCACCAAACGGCAACCACTATAAATATATTGAGTCCCCGGTTAGGAGTGCAGCATCATGAAGCATTCAAAAAACTTGAAGATTTTCAGTCAAATCGAAACCATCAGAGAACGAAGGCATGGTAAGATGTCAAACCACTACTGGTAGAGTTTAACCAGAATCTGAAAAGTCTCAATTTCTTGTCAGAAAGTGTTTGACCAGAAAATTTGACCATATTTATGAGTTAAAAAAGTCCCACTCAAGTCGAGTAACTAGAAAATAAAGAGTGGAAATTACCTCGTCGCCAAGAGCACAATAACCCCTGAGAAAAGCCTGGCAAGTAGGGGCCTTTGAGTTCACATTTACATGTCTATAAGCACAATTTTTGCTGCTGCATAAACCTGTCAAGAAGTTCATTATAAACCTGCAGTTCTATAAATTTTTGGAAACAATGAAGTTTGAAAAGTACCCTGTAAAAAGTATGAACAATCAGGCATCCTTTCTGGAATGACCTGTGGAGGAAAGAAAATTGAGATGAAGGTTTGGACAATTTAGACCAAAGCTTAAACAACAAAAGGCCCATCAATTGAATCAGTGCTGAACCTTATGAGTCAATTTGCAGCTTGCGTTAGAACATAAACCATTAAGAAATTTTGTGCAGACTGCAATCTTGGAAGTGTCGTGAATATAAGGGCACTTGCCACCTTCTTTGTTACACTTGCCAAATCTTGTAAAAAATTGACAGTACTTCCCCTTCTTAGCCAGACGCTGTCTTGCAGTGTGCAAACTCCATCGAATTTTCTCATTTGCCAATATGCGTGCTCGTCTTTTTGTATTTCTGACCAACTGATTGCCATTTCCAATCTTAACATATCTGCCAGTTTTTCAGTGTCAACCACAAAAGAATGTTAGCTCAATTGTCTATAGTAGGTATCCGAGTATACAAGTATACTTTTCATCCAATGGGTGTGTGCATATACTCAAACCATGCTTTGTAGCTTAAATAAGTCACATACTCGTCATTTCCAATCATTAGACTCCGTGGAATAAAAAATTTCTTAGCAGTCTTTTTTGGTTGCAGAGTAGAACCGGATGCTTGGTCATCTGCAGGACGTGAAGAATGAAAAATAACATTAGAGGAAGTCTATACCCATGAATCTGTGCATCTGAGTAAATGTGTCAGACAGAGATAGTGAATAAATGCGTGGAGAAATATTTGATGTACTTTGCGGGGAAAGTTCGTGAAGAATTGGTCAGCATGGTTAAGCGGGGCAGAGCTATGGAATAATACTACATTTCATATTTCAATTGAAATAGCATGATTTCTGGCTGTTTATGGGCAGCCTCCCTGTCTCCTTTGCTATCTTACGGTAAAATGAAAATTACCAATGCTACATTGGACCAACAATTGAAAGAAAGAGGTGTTGCTTATGTGTTAAAAACACATTTGAGGGGGCCCGCTCAAGATGGCATGAAGAAGTTTGCAGCTCACGCATGCTTTGAATTAAAGCTCGTAGTTGAAGATTAGGTGTTGCTTAAAACCCAACCATACAGACAAGCCTCCCTAGCAAAGCAAAGGAATGAGGAAACTATCTCCCAAATACTTTGAGTGTCTTATTGCATTGAACATGAAATTGGACCAGTAGCTTAAAAGTTACAATTACCAAAGTACGCTACTATCCAACTAGTGTTTCATGTTTCACAATCGAAAGGTGCTTTGAACTCCCATCGTGAAATGCAAGTAGGCCCATCAATACATAGTGATGAACTTTAGTGGGTTGCAGAACCCCTTTATTGACAGCACGAATGATCAATTTGGGGAAAAGGAGTCTTGGTTTGCTGGAAGAGGTTACCTGAGCATGAGGCAACATGGGAGTTTGACTGCGAGATTCAAAAGCAATTCCCTGTTTTCAACCTTGAGGACAAGGTTGCAGCTCGGGAGTGATGTTAGGTCCCCAAAAACGAAAATTATCGAAGGGGCAAGAATGACAAAATGCCTTTAACAAGTTAGTTGAAAGGAATGTGCGCGGGAGGGGGGGGG